TCAACCCTTGCAAATTCTGCAGTAAGAACAGAATAGAAGGAGTTCTGAAGGTTCTGACAAAATATGGCAGGATGGACTTTGTTACTTGTTGCTCTAACCCCTTGCCAAATTTTAGAGATGGAATTGTTTGTTTAATTAGGTCAAATGTTCGAGTGCTACAATGAAACCAAGTCACCGAACTGCAGGAATGTTACACTCAACGTGGCCACAGGTGTGGTTGCAGTAACAGAGCCAAATTAGTATGATGATCATTCCTTCTGGCACACATGTAACCCAATACATATTCTTCCTGCAGGTGTACCTACTCCTAACTACATCGATGATCTATTTGGTTAGATTTCTGGAGGACACCAAGAAACCCTATGCCTGGCACTAATGTTGACCTTGGGATGGACAAAACAGGAAAAAATCAAGACCCCATCATCCCTTTACGTGGAAATGGTGGGCACCAGACATTGGCAGAATCCACTGTCATTCCTGTATTGTGTGACTCTCCAGACAATTGATTTCCAATCTGATTAGGCATAGAAACTGAACAAACGTTTTGGTGCAGTACTAATTGATTACTGCATTGTCAGAAAGGTCTACAATTAGGTTGACATGAAAGATTCCATGACACTATTTTGAAGAAGCTGCTAAGTTGCCTGAAAGTTTTGGCGAAAATTTTTCTCTCAATCAACATCACTAAAAGAGACGATCTATTTATTATCATTGGCTGCAATTCTCCAGTTTTAGTCTCAGTGTGGTGACAAGCGTGTTCAGTGGCAATTGACTCATTGGTAACATGTAGTGAATTTTCTTTTATTCACTCATGGATTGTAGGTGTTTCTGGATGGTCAGCATTTATTGCCCATTCCTAGTTGGTCTTGAGAAGGTAGTGGTGAGCTGACCGCTTGAACCACTATAGTCCATACGCTGTAGGTAGACCCACAATGCTGTTAGGGAAGGAATTCCAAGATTAGACCCAATGACACTGAAGGAACAGTGATATATTTCCAAGTCAGGATGGTGAGTAGCTTAGAGGGGAAATTGCAAGTGGTGGTGTTCCCAAATAACTGCTGCCCCGACCTTCTAGATGGAAGTGGTCATTGGTTTGGAAGGTGCTGTCTGAGCATCTTTGGTGAATTTCTGCAGTGCTTCTTGTAGATGGTGCAGATTGTTGTTACTGAGCGTCGGTGGTGGAAGGAGTATATGTTTGTGGATTTGGTGCCAATCAAGTGGGCTGCTATGTCCTGGACAGTGTCAGGCTTCTTGAGCGTTGTTGGAGCTGCATTCATCCAGGCAAATGGGGAGGGATTCCATCACACTTCTGACTTGTGCTTTGTAGATGGTGGACAGGGTTTGGGAATTAAACAGAAGAGTTGCTTGATGCAGGATTCTTATCCTCTGACCTGCTGTTGTAGACTTTGTATTTAATTGTCCAGCCTATTTCAAGTTCTGGTCAACGGTAACATCCAGGATGTTGATAGTGGGGATTAATAAAGGTAAAAACCATTGAACGTCAAGGGGTTATGGTTAGATTATTGTTCGAGATTGTCATTGCCTGGCATTTGAATCACGTGAATGTTAATTGCCACTTCACAGTCCAAGCCGGGATATTGTCTTGGTCTTGCTGCGTTTGGACATGGATTGCTTCAGTATCAGAGGAGTCATGAAACGACGCTGAACATTGTGCAATCATTGGCAGCATCCCAACTTTGGACCTTATGCTGAAGGAAAGTTGTTGATGATGCAGCTGAAGATGGTTGGACTCTAGGACTACAATCCTGAGAAACTCCTGCATTGATGTCCTGGAATTGAATAAAGCAACAATCAGCCAAAGTGAAGGTCAGTTTCAGATGAAACTTGGGACAAAAGAGCAATTGATGAGTCGTCAGCTTAGTAACTTCTCACGCAGCAAGCCTTCTCTGAATGGGGCAATGATCTCAACCCCACATATTATTTTATCCTACAGTATTCTTCTAATTCAGTCTTACTGCACAAAGCCACATCTACATTATCATGCCATACAACCTGAACATTACCACAAAAAGGCTAGATCTGTAATGTAGAGTAAGCCAATATACTTGTTTAGTGTAAGTTTCGATCCCATGCTGTAATACTTTGCCTACTTCTGAGGCCTGGCATTGAGACATACCAAGGAGACTGTACCTGTTGGATTTTTTTTTCCACATAGTTGATATAATGGGAGAAAGTAAACCCTTGTTGTGATGCTGAGCGATGTCAAGAAAACTAAATAAAGTTTGTTTATTGTATGGTGTTAGGTGCTTTCTGGGAAATATCCTAATTTGCCTCCTTGAATACAGACTTTGCCATGTATAGCAATGCATTCAATATTCAAATCTTCATTCTGTGGCACAATTGAGCATCATTTTATAATTAGGTATTTAAGTGCCTTGACAAATTATTGCACAACATTTTTATAAAAGGGCCCAATTTTTGTACAGTTGGAAATGACTAATGCATTTATTTCTATCCTTTCAAAATGAATTTAGAGCAATATGAATTTGCATGGTGCCACATTGACTCAAAAGGTACTAAGAATTGTATTTTTGCAGTACCATATCTTATCAAAATAATCTGAAAGCAGTACACACAATTTAATTGCTGATCTTACGAATTATCAAAGACATAAAAGCTTGAGTATCTGAATCAAAAATGGATGGGTGTCCACTATCCCAACACTGGAGTCATCACAAGCAGAAATGATTTGATGCTGGTATGATATGCATATGTGATGCAGAATGCACAGCAGCAATCAACAAAAACAATGGAGAGCTAGATTATATCGTTAAAATGATACAGATACAACTAAATGTTCTAGTCAGACTACATTGTGAAGGTACAGTCAAGTAAGGGGCCTAATGTTACATTTCCCCACCATGTTTGTTTTCGATGGGGAAAACACATGCAAAGCAAGGTGGGGACCCAGATCAGCAGCTTTCCATTTCAGCCCAAGTGTAACCTCATAATACAAAGGATAGCCAGGTGCTGAAATCAGCCTGCCTATCATAGTAAATGAATAATTATGGGCCAATTGAGCTTGTTAAAAATTCAATTGACCCCAATATAACCTTGTCCTACAGGGGCTCTGCTTGATACTTTGGTCATACGGGTGACTTTCCTTGTGGTGGTTTACTAATAGATATTTGCACAAAAAAAAACAGGAGATTCGAATCTCCTGAGTTCAAGGGACTGACTCTGAGCTGGCTGGGTCACAGCCAGTGTACCATGCACAGGTAAATAAAGAGTGACTTGGTGACGGATACCAGCCTCTGTGCAGTTATTTCAGTGGCAACTGGAGAAAATAGGATGTTTCTAAAGAACAAAATATATAACTTTGTCCTTTCAATAATACAGTTGGCGTGGGCAAAAGAGGGTTACCTGTGACTTCTACAAATTTTTAAAAAAAGGCAATTGAGGGCACTCTGTTCGGATGGTGCCTGAGAAGATAATATCCTTTTCTGAAGAAGGGTCCAGATCCGAAACGTCAGCCTTCCTGCTCCTCTGATGCTGCTTGGCCTGTTGTGTTCATCCAGCTCTACACCTTGCTATCTGAGATAATATCCTTCATCTCCACAAAGACTTCAAAATTCATCCTCCATTCTCTTCACCCACCTACCTAAGATGACCGACCTCTCTGTGTGCCCAATGGATCTGACTTACCTGGTTCTGGGGCTGCATGGAGACTTTGTCCTCAGACTGGTTGCAGTTGGTACACTTGGGGGAAGAATGTCTACTGTGCCACACTTGTGCCAGAAGAAATGATCATCATACCAATTTATGCTTGTTATTATGACCTGTAGTCACACAAGTCTATAGCCTGTTTCTGTCAAGTGTGACACTCTTGTAGCTGTGGTGAGTTGGCGATACTTTTATACACTTGACAGAAATAAACTTTGTTTCATTGTAGACCTGCATCTTTTGTTTCTATTCAAACATGAAAATTAAATGTTAAGCTATTACTTTCTTTCTTTCCAGTAATGTTTTATTCATGGACAATTGCCATTGTCCAAGCAGCACCCAATACTGAGCAGTGGTACTGCTGAGACTGCTGGAACTGCTGGCTCTTCAAATTAACCAGCAGCTCCAGAAGCTGTAACTTTGCTCATTGAGAAATGAACACTCACTATCCATTAATGAAGCCTGTCTACATCATTGGAATGGCTGCATGGCAGGCTTTTTCTGTGTCTACCCCTCATCTACCCACCCTACTCCTTTACCCAGTTTACCTCATTTATGCACCTACACCTTCACCTATTCACTCGCTAACACTGACAAAATGAGACGTTCTGTGTCATTTAAACTATTACTTACCAGAATACCCCAGTTAGTGCCATAAAAAGGGGTGCGGCTTCTCTCTGCTTTTCCTTTCAAGGATTCTGCTCCTTGAGCAGCCAGAATAATTGGAGAAGGTAAATAGGTGTTTTTGTGTCTAGTCAGCTTTTAAAAGAGAGGTTCCAGTGCCCATTGAATATTTGGGCCATTGTAAATAAATGCTGAGATAATTACAGAAAACCAAGTCGTCCAGTGAGGGTCACAGACAATGATGAAAAGAGCTTGCAACCTGCCCTGACTCTTCCAGCCACTTTCAACAAGATAATTTTGGCTGGTGGAGACAGACTGTACACCACAGTGACTATCAATAAACAAATGATCATCAGACCTGCCAAGAAAGCTTTCATATGATTTTCAATTTCTTATGTTTTCAATAAAATCTTAACAGAAGGGTGCAGTATAAAAAGGAAAAGTCTGACATATTTACAATTACCCTCAGGAACTAAATGGCATTTTACTTTGCAGAAAGAAATGTAACTAGCTCATTTTTTCTGAAGAACTGAATAGGGACAGATAAGAAAAATCACAGATAAATGAAACAAAGACAAGGTATGCAAAACGAGTTGAGAGGTCATTCTGGGCAGCTTTAGGCACTCTGATCTAAGTGCTCCTGACTGGCAGCATTCTGTGATTTGATTTTATTCTTGTGTTTCCAATTTCAGACAAATGCTGCCTTAGTTTATGATGCAGTTCACGTGGTATCGGTGGCTGTCCAGCAGTCCCCACAGATGACTGTCAGCTCCTTGCAGTGTAACAGGCACAAACCCTGGCGCTTTGGAAGCCGTTTCATGAAGTTCATTAAAGAGGTAAAACAAAGAACTGCGAATGCTGGAAATCTGAAACAAAAACAGAAATTGCTAGAGAAGCTCTGTGGAGAGGAAGCAGAGTTGACCTTCCGGATCCTATGAACTGAAGAACAGTGAACAAAAATGAAAAAGCTTCACTGGACCTGAAACTTTAACTCTGCTTTCTCTCCACAGAACTTCTGAGTTTCTCTAGCAATTTCTGTTTTTGTTTCATTAAAGATGTACTTGTATAGCAAGATGATTGGAACTTATAATGTGTCCCTTTCAAATCCAACTTACTTACTATCTACCCAACAACAGCTTTATAAATTGAAATGGATCATTATCTGCATGCTTGAAAAAATTCTAATTAACATGCTGCTTAATGACTTTGGATTATAGTTTCTTCTCCTCTGGAAAAATTGAAGAAAGGAATAATCCCCTTTTATGTCCATTAATTGCATCTTGGCAGGAATTCGTGGTTTTACTGATTATGCATTTGTTAAATAACAAAATATCAGGCTGACGCAATGCACCTGTAAAGATGGTCCTTCAATCATCTCGCACACTATTTTACCAATGCATTACTGTCCACTTTAGTCATCAGCAGCAAAGTGTAATGGCTGAATGGGATGGGCATTTCATGCAGGAAGCAGAAGATCCTAATAAGTTGGGGTTGAAACCCGTGTTGTGGTCCAGAGTAATGCCTAATGTCAAAGAATATTAATCAAGGAACCATAGAAAAGCTTTTTTTCTAATTTGCTTAATGGATCAAAGGTGGCTGAGTGGCTAGTACTGCTGCCTCACAGCGCCAGGGACACAGGTTCGATTCCAGCCTCGGGCAACTGTCTGCATGGAGTTTGCACATTCTCGCCATGTCTGTGTGGGTTTCCTCCGGGTGCTCCGGTTTCCTCCCACAGTCCAAAAATGTGCAGGGTAGGTGGATTGGCCATGCTAAATTGCCCGTAGTGTTCAGGAATATTTAGGTTAGGTGGATTAGATGTGGGAAATGCAGGGTTAAGAGAATGGGTCTGGGTGGGATGCTCTTCGGAGGGGCAGTGTGGACTTGTTGGGCCGAATGGCCTGCTTCCACACTATAGGGACTCTATGATTCTATATATTCAATAATGTTGTCTGTGCCTTCATGAAGTCAGCGTGGTAGAATGTAAGGGTTAGTGATGGCCTGTGTTGAGTTGGCTTTAATTACTTCAATAATTAAACAGTAAATTATAAAACAGCCCTGATGATCTTCATAGCCTACCACTAGTAATGGATAGCAATTCTCTTTGTGGTCCTTTAAGATAAGTCTAGAGTTCCTTGTATTCCTGAACACCGCCTGGTAGCTGATTTTTGTGAAGTAATCCTGCTTCCTGGGTCATATCTATTATTAGTCAAAGATCTCCATATCTCTCCCTGCTTCCAAATAATTTTTTCTGCCTTTTATAAATTTTCAAATTCCTGCCACTGGACCTTATACTTGTGCTTTTTGGGGGTATGGGGGTATTGAATGCCATGCATATTGTTCGATTCTATCATTGCTGTGATAAAATATTGGTATAGTAGCGTTTGTTGAGACCGCTGAAAGTTGACAGTTAAAGATCATTGAGCATGTTTATAAGTGTGCAGCAAGGGATATATTCATGAGCCTCCCTTGCTTTTCTGCCCAAATTACGCTAGGAGTGAATTGGAATCCCCTTAAACAATTTTTGTGCCAAGCATTTCATTGGAAAGCGAATGATGAGAAGCATAGCTATGTATGACATTACATTATGTCTATTGAAGGGATCATCCATGTACAACCTGGAGCTGCCTTTATGTTTCTTTGTAATTACAAAAAGACATTAAGGGCTATGCTAGTAAGGGAATTTTCAAGAATGATAATTGTTAATAACTAAATTTTGACATGAGTTACTTGTTACACAAGCTCACCATAGGCAGCAAACTACATCAGGCAAATAGTACTAATAATTTGCCAGTATCATGAGAGTCAGTGACTAAAGCATTTTTAAAAAAGTATTAAGTATTGTTCATTATAACTTGTTAACCTCTGAACAATTTTTACTGATGAAAGATGATCAAGGAGGACCCCTGGAAGTCTAACTGTTGCTGTGTATCTTACGATTTTCTCTTTGCTGACGGACTCACATTTACAATTACTGTTACTCCAGGTCAGTGCAGAAACTGATGGAAGCTGCATCCAACACAATCAGATCACGAGAGTCCTCTGGTGATTATTTTAGCACCTGCCACATAAAGTGGGCAAATGACATCAACACCAATTTGACTGTTACAAGTAGCAACAAATGAATGTGAATGCATATGGCTAGCTTTTCCTGATTTGAGTCAATGCTTTCCTTCTTTATTTTGTCTTTGTTTCTCTACTTAGGCTCACTGGGAAGGACTAACAGGCCGAATTATATTTAATAGTTCCAATGGCTTGAGAACAGATTTTGATTTGGATGTGATTAGCCTCAAGGAAGAAGGGCTTGAAAAGGTATTGGGATTCTTCCTTAAGCCTGATTAGCTGATTGAATGAAAATATGATGAATCATTAGATAGCCAAGGAAGTTTATTCTGTGGAAGGTAGCTGCATAGCACTTCTATGCCTATGTTTCTACTGCCAAGAATAATTTATTTTTCAATGAAAATATGAGTATAAAATTATTAAGTTGTGAAAACCAGATTTAGACCTGATAATCACTTTTAACATACAAGGTGCAAGTCTACGTGTTTGCACTCACCCACTGGGAGTGCAAATCAGAATTTGCCGCAAGTATATGGTAATTGTATTTTAATAATTTTCTTGCTGAAGCTTTGTACCCATTGTTAAAAATGGATTACTTTTCAACTTTATCACTATAAAGTTTTCCCCCTAACTGAAGCTCCTGCAGCCTCAGAACCCCTTTCCTGGACTTTTATAATCTTGGAAAATTATTGATCGTAATTCTGGTCACAGTGCCTAGTATCACCTCAATAGCTTGATTTCTACACTTAATCTATTGGAGTATTCAGAACATTGTTTTTAATGTTAGAAGATATTCTATAGGTATAACTAGTTATGATTGGACTTGATTATTGTTTTCCAATGAAAGCAAGCATGGTTAAATGTGTTACGCTCTCAAAGTTTCTGCTCATGTTATGAGGGATAAGCACTCACATTGACCCTTGTGCTTGATTTCATAGATTTATTACAACCAATATACTTGGAATCGTGCTTCTATTCATTGCCATTGTGTGAAAAAATGTTTTCGTGACACTAAATGTTTTAGCTGATACCTCCAGTTGCTGGAGAGAAGTGTGTGCTAAGCATTGCATGGCTATTGGAATCATTTGGGGCTGATGACCCTGGTCTCGTAGCTCATAAGATGGATCTCATACCACTAAATGCAATCTTTTAGCCACCATATGTGAATGGTCCATAAATGTGCAGCCTTGAGGGACAGCACTGCCACCAATGGCCATTCTCCTGTTATAATTGATCTCCGTCTCTGCGTGAAAGCATGGTTCCAAGAATATCAGTGAAATCTCACCTGATGTTTACAACTCATTCCCGTTGTTTTGAAAGTGGGAAACACCGGCCTTTCTATTTTGGCACCCAGGCCTCGATTACTGGAGTCTGAGCATTCATTGAGGAAAAACTTCCTGTTTCTTCTTTGAGTCTCACTAGACATTTCCAAACGTGATTGGAGCATCTTACTTGTATGGACTCGACTTTATTAAAATTACTTACACTGTAGCAAGAAGCTGGTGAACTATTAGTTTCAATTGAAGAAGTTGGTTATCTTCCAGTAATGAGAATTTGTGGGCTTTGCTCATAAAGTGCTCATTTTCATAATTGCATTTGTTACACTCATTATAGGTTGGGACCTGGGAAACGAGCAGTGGATTGAACATGACTGAAAATCGCAAAGGAAAGACAGCTAACATCACCGATTCATTATCTAACCGATCGTTAGTTGTTACAACGATTCTGGTAAAATGTTATGCATTGCTCACCTTTGATTTATGATTTGTGGTGTTACACTAACATGCAAATGGAAATGTCGAACAAGACTTTTCAACTAAAATTAATAAACCCAGAAGGCAACAATACACAATATTTAGCATATTTACAGTATATTTTACATTTTGTCAATGAGAGCACCACACTGGCTCAGTGATCTAAAATACAACATGAAATTTATTTGTCTTCAAGCATTTGTTTTAGGAAAAAACAATAGCATCAGGCCCATAATGTAAAAACATTGAAAAAAATGAGGTAACATACCAATTATGTAACAGTTGAGTGATGATGGGCTTATTATTTTAAAAAAAAGAGGCATGTAGGAGCAAGAGAAACCTGAAGGATTTAAAGGTGTCTACAGTCATTACTTTCTGGCACTGTGTGATATCCATTATGTAAATAAGTATTACCAATTTATTAATTCTACAGTGTACTCTGAAAGACACGTATAGTAAAAAAGACTTACTGCAAAATTAGAGATTAGAAATTGTAGATATTTAAAGTGGGCTTTTAAATAATTGAAACTGTGAGCCATATGTTCCTCTCTGCAATACAAAAAAATACAACTATGCCTTTTGATTGTGACACTGATGGAAGACAACTGGGTAATTGTGGTTTGGTAGTAGTGCACATGGATTATAACCAATTTTGTTTTATTCAGTCATGTGATGTGGGGTCTGCTGCCTAGATCAGCTTTAATTCCCATCCCTAATTGCTTTTGGGAAGGTAGTGGTGAGCTGCCTTCTTGAACAGCTGAAGAAGGATGCAATGTGAATGTTCCATACTGCTGAAGCTTATTCACAGTAATTATTGCAGAAGCAATATATAGAGGATGGAATGGAAGTGCACATGATATAGATCCTTCATAGATGAGCCAGTTATCTAGACATGGCAGAGCAGCAGTACATAATAAGTAAATGACACACTACTTGTTCCACAAAGCCCTAACATTACAGTTCATCATCTGCTTTGCAGCAGTAGTGGTCATGATGATTGTTATTGCCCTCACTTTTCATGATATGGGCTCCTTTGGGACACCAGCAATGATTTTACAATATTCAAGCATTTTGCTGTGCAAAACTCCATTTGTGAAATCAACTTAACTTTTCCTAAAATCCTGCTTTATGTGTGGTATTATTGACTAAGCGGATATAGGCAATTGTCATGGCAGAACAGCACCAGATATTATCGGCCATTGTCACACAGTCGTTGGGGAATAACCATGAGACATAATTTTCTGACTGTGCTCTCAGTTGGGATTCATAAACATTTGGAACTCATACACAGCTCATGCTAGCATTCCTGCGATTCAGTGCTCTCTGTGGGAGACAATGGAAAATGATCTGCTGGGAGTACAAATTATTCATGTGATAGTTACATTTGGAGGCAATGTGACAGAACACAGTTCTTTGAAAAGGAAAGAATGATGGAGATTTGGAGCTTTGGAGATATGGTGTGCTAAACTTGACTATCAGTCATCCTAGAAGCAGCATCCCATTAGAAACCAGATATAACAAGCAGCGTAAACTGACACCATTAGGAATACAAAAACCAGGCCATCCAGCGACATGATTGCATGTTTTCAATCACAAATCCATTGATAGTTTTATATGTTGTTTTACGTTTACATGAAAAGATTGAGTTTGTTCAATTCATTTTTCTCGGACAAGTCATTTTTTTATGACTGTGGAGTGATATTACAACTTAATTATCCAATGAAATAGATTCATTATCCCATTGTTCTCAAGCAGAAAGTAATTCTCAAAATTTTTGTACAAACAAGAACAAATCTTTTGACAGGTTAATTAAGAAGCTAGTTGGCTGCTTAAAATGATTATACCTGGCCTATTGAGATTAGCTGTGCTTTGGTTCTTCCTATGAATTAAATTGTACAAAATTTAATGTTTTTTTGCACTGAAAAATCACTTGCCTTTTTAGTTAGAGATTGTAACAAAAGAAATGATAGTTTTAATCTTACAATTTTCGTCTAAGTCTGAGTTGTGCAGAGCTTATTGGAGGGATTGTTGCTGTGAGGATTGGTGGATTTTCTAACCAGCTCTCATCTATTGAATATGGGTGTCAATGAGGCTCAGTTTGTCTTGAAATGCCCAATGCAGCTGAGCTAAACAATGACGGTTTCCTCCTCCCCACTGTCCTCATCCTCCTCAGGTGACCATTCCTATTCCCACAGTTCCTCAGCACTCAACACACCACCACATTATCTGCTCCAATTGCACAGAGCGTAGCACACCAGGATGATGTAGCACACTTTGTCCAGACTATACTAGAGACCCCAAGCCCTCCCTCCCCACACTGATCCAAGCAGCGCAGCAATATCTTCAGCAGCCCCGTCGTCTGCTCCACCTCGGCCCTGGTTGAGGCATGGGCGGCATTAAATGTCTGATCCATATCCATCAGGTGGTTGCACAATGGTGGAATGAGCCATGGTCACAGTGGGTAGTAACCAGCCTTGTAAAGGCCCTGGACCCTCAAACAAACCAGGTACATGAGAGCGCTATAGGATATAGGAGCCATAGCAGCTGCCTGGGTAGTGACCGCACTCCACCAGGGTGTGGTGACAGTGATCAGAGATCACCTGCACAATAATCAAATAGAACCCCTGCAGCGTGGTGATACCACCCTCTCAGTACCATGTGTGTACAGTCCATGGCACCCTGCACCTAGGGGAATAACGTTATGTTTCTGAATCCTGCAGCCCAGTACTGACCTCATCATCAGGAAACAAAACAATCTTGTGTATTCATGTCATCGGTCACTGACCCGATGCATTTGTGAGTACGTGACTGAGAGGTTCCACACAGATTACCTGCTGCTTCCTGGAAGGAGTGAGTCACAAAGAGGTTGAGGCAGGCAGAGACCTTCACAACCAGCAGGAGAGGTTGTCATCCAATTCCTGAAACCCTCAGGTCACACTGCAGTACCTGGCACGTTCTGTCATAATGTCCCAGGACAGCACTCAGTCAGTCCTGTCGGACCAGCACAACCAGTCAGGGGAATTACTTAGGAAGTGGCAATGACAGGGGCCAGGCCTCTGGTCAGTCATGTCTTGGGACTGCTTATTAAAATTGGCCAGAGATCTGGTGTGAGTACAGTCCTGGCAGTCTGTCCATCAATCTTTCAGGAAGAATCACAGGAGCGCAATGACAGAAGAGATCAGGATCTGTTATGGCTGGGTTGCGGGGTGGGGGGGGTGGTACACAGAGGCATTTGACAGAGGTGGGGAGAAGGACGGTGATGAGGAAGTATATGGGGGGCATGTGGATACAGGAGGAGGTTTTAGTGGCACTGACCACAACCATGACCTCCACAAGGGGCACATGGAGAAGCCGGCCAGGTATATGAAGGTGTAATTCCAAGGTTTGGGGCAGGGAGCACAGTTGGAAGTAAAGTTCAATGGCCTCCACTTTGGGGGAATGGATGGAAATTGGCTTTTGGTGAAGTACTAGGTAAATGGTGACATGGAGGCATGAGAGGGTGTGTAGCATCTGGAACAAAAACAAAGTTGCTGGAAAAGCTCAGCAGGTCTGGCAGCATCTGTTAAGGAGAAAACAGAGTTAACGTTTCGGGTCTGGTGACCCTTCCTCAGACCCTTCCGTTTTCAGAAAGGGTCACCGGACCCGAAACGTTAACTCTGTTTTCTCCTTAACAGATGCTGCCAGAC